CTGAGGCCTGGCCCATAGCCCTTTTGGGTGTGTGGTCCATTACTGATGTGTACGAGTGGTCAGACCACCCCTGGGAGCAGGACTCATGGCTTCATGAGTAGCCAGATCATTACCAGGTAAGGTAAGCTGTAGCCAGGGCCGGATTAACATAGGGGCTGGTGGAAAAGGACCATTGCTAAAAAAAAAAAAAAAAAATATATATATATATATATTTTTTTTTATATATTTTTTTTTTTACTACCCTTCACATGTGGATGTAGGGAATAAAAACTCGTGTGGAAACTGGAGGACAATAAAAACTAGTTAAGGCAAAGCTGACTTTGCACACTATGCAAATGCACTTACTGCTTGTCCCTAACACTGTGAAATGTTCCCTTTCTTCTACACTCACTACATACACCTTTTCTCTGTTCCAGACTGTGTAACAGGAGCTTCTGCCTGCTCGTAAGGAGAGGAGTGGACAAGTGAGTGCTAGGTGACAGTCCTTAGAAATGGTGGAGCGAGCGAATCACTAGACCAATTTATGCCAAGTTTAGGATGCTGTTTGCATAGTATGCCCTTAGTTAGCCAGCCTGCATGATTAGCAGGCAGCCTGACATGCATTCACACCAGGCTTCTAATTCCTCGGGCAGATTTTTTGGGGCATGTTTGTTCCTTTAGGCAGCTCTGGTTATGTGATTCACATCAGTGACCCACCCTTTAACCCCGCACACCGAAATCCTGCTTCACTGGAGACTGCTGTTAGGGGGTATGGATTTACTTGAAAGATTAACGCAAGACATTAGCATAGGGTTTGTGTTTTCTGATACCTATATTCTGGGGAATCCCTCCAGCACCACCTCCACCAGATACATGACGATTGGGAGGTATGACTGTTTGTGTTTTCTGTCGCTACGGGTTCTGCTTACCTATCTGCCGCAGAGAGCGGGGAATCGGCGCATCCCCTACCTCGAGTGAATGAGCAGGCCTCACTTGCAAAGTCCATGTGATTTCCATAGCAGTCACTTAAACTGCTGTCCAAAGCAAGTAATAACTGACCCAAAGGTAATGAAGATTAGACGACCACTGTGGATAGTAATTTGGGTATATTTTTAGTGTAAAACATGGATTTTATTGAGGACCCCAATCTGATTGCATTTAATTAAAATAAATACAAGTTTCCTCTGAATTATTTGAAAATAAAGCTCTCTTATCATTTACTACTTAAATAATAAAACAATCTTTTGTAATATGCTAAATACACGCAAGCCTTTTCTGAGAAGCAGCTGTTAACAACAGAGCAGGTGTTAGTGTGTATTCAATAACATTCCATTCCTAATGTCCCTTGGAAGTCACAATTTGTTATTACAAATATGCTTTGGTTAAATCTCCTGTCCTTTCAGTTAATTCTTATTTCACATCAGGTGCTGAATGGGATAAAATATGTTCTGCGCTTTCAGAACAGGGGTGTTTTCATCTGGAACAAATAAGACTCAAATTCAAGGACAGCAGAATTGGAAACTAATGATATATGAACAGATAAGTACATGTAAGGTATAATAAATCCAACCATATTGTTGCATAAGAAGAGGCATCAGATGTCTTGTTGCAGGGTGTTCAATTAATACTCTAAGCACCCTCAGCCAACTAACTGCAGCCACATAAAGATCTAGGGGTTAAGGATTGCCCCATGCTGCTCCAAAATTATATCCAGTGTATGTTGCTACCACTCAGTTTTTGAAATTGTTTTGAAATTGTTACTTATTTTTACTGAAAATTAAGATTGGCCAATAGAGGGACAGATATACAAAGATGTGTGTTTTAATATATTTATATCCTGCCAGCAGGGGTGTAGAATAGTCTCAGTCCTTGGACTAAATAACAATAAATGCACCACAGAGGAATATTAACAGTATAAAGTGAAGTTCCACCTGTAGGTTGCCCCTAATGTGCGGTCAGTGAGTGAAAGGCATGTTGGCCAGTAGGCGCACTCTATAATTCTGGGCTATCAGGCAGGATTTTGTTAGCCTGCTGGTTTAATATGGCCCTGGAATGATATCCAACAAAATGTTCCAGAGTGGGCTGGTGGACACGTCCCTGGGATGATGAGTTCAGCTGTCCCTAGCCAATCTGTCTATGTCGATTACTCGTACTATCCTCCAAATTACCTATGCTCTGCCTAACGGTGGAAATAGTGGAGTCAGTACTGCTGCTGATGCTGCCCTTTTCTTTCATGCCTGTTATTGTAGTGATTCCACCTTGCCTTATGTTTGTGTTTGAAAAATGGGTTGCTGCCCGATGGATTTGCTACTAGTGTCGTTTGACTTGCACAGCAAACAGTTAAAGATAAATACTGATTCTTCAGAGATGCTATACCCTGCCCGTGAAACTACTACTGCTTCACACTGGACTGAACACATTCAGATATTTAAAAAAAAAAAAAAAAAAAAAGATTGTCGTTCTACAAAATACCAAATAATAAAAACTAGAAAAGCTAAAATTTCAGGAAATTGTGTGAAGTGTTCTTGCCTCCACCAGTAGTCTACAACTGAAGTAACTTATTTATTTATACAGCACATTTAATTGCAACGTTGATGCCCAAAGTGCTTCACAGTTACATTAAACCATACATTTATAAAAACATTAGCAGGTGTACAAAAGACCCTGTCTATGACATCACTTGCTGCTCCAGCCTGGCACAGGTCAGAGTATTTTGGCGGTTGCCATATTCAAACGGTCGTATTTTAAAAACTATAAATCCTACAGCGAAGAGCTTTATATTGTCAGAATCACAAGACTCAGACCTACATTTTGATGCATAGTATGTCTCTGAAATATTAACAATAAAGGCACAATCGCAGTTTAGAAATTGCCCTTCAAATTTGAGCTGGCTGGAGTGGAGTTTCAATGAATGTCAATGGACGGTGTGAGTTGCAAACAAATGGTCATTTTGTGAAAACTATCAGGACTATGGCTTAGCTGTGGACATGTTTAGTGGCAGCAGGGATAGCTGAACGTTTTGATATAAGATTTATGTAGGTGGGCTTGAAAATGAGGGAGTGGTGGCAGTTTAGAAATAGTGTCCTGATTTTTCAGCTTTTGCCAGCTCCCACTCTAGTTTTGCCATTCATTCCTATGGGACCAATTTCGCCACAAGAACGATGATATTCCGCGAACCATTTGGCGAAACGTTCCAAAGTAATAGCAATCCAATCAGGAACAATCCGCACGTTTCGGTATATTACTGTCCATGTAGTGTAAAAACTGTGGGAGGAGTTAGGGTGATAAATTTGGCTATAATAAGAATAAGAATAATATATATGTGAGATAACATTAAGTGGTCTTGCATAGCAAGAACACTTAATAATAAAATATATGTGAGATAACATTAAGTGGTCTTGCTATGCAAGAACACTTAATAATTAGGAACAGTCCAGGATTACAAGAATTTGTGTTGGTGGTATCCTTGTAATTCACCAGGATACAATGGACTAGCTGGGGTGGAAGGTCTGGCGGGCTTACTTGGAAATGAAATAACCTCTTCTAGTGGTGAAAGACAAAATATGATAAATAAACAATGAGTAAATGTAATGGACATGTCAATGAGAGTGAAGCCCTGTATCAACTGGCAGCTCACTAAGTGCCGGATGGCAAAGAAATTAGCTATACAAGGGGAAGGTGAGACCTTGTTAAATACCAAATGGCTCAGAGTCTCTAGCTGTGAATATGACAGAGGGACTGAGGCCACAGTGTGAAGTGGCGTGAAAGTTCGCCTCCCGGTGACAAGTAAGATTCAAATAAGTGGCTGTGACAGGAGAGGCCCTAATAACCTTTTGGAGGTTGGAGTGAGGCTCTACTAAGAGTTTGGCCGATGGGTAAATACCTCTGTGTGAGGATGGGTGTTGTCCTCGCTGGACTGAATTATAAATATATACTAGAAAATGGCCTGCATTTGCAGCCAGTTGATCTATCCCCTAAAAAAATGTGTAGGAGAATAGAAATGTAATATATTGATAGAAAGTATGTTGGAACGTACATACATTGCCCAACTAGTGAGGTTGGGCTTGAGAAAGGATGTCGTAGAGAGTAACCTAAAGAAACAATGGGAATATGTCCAGGATGATGTACGTCGTAATTTAAATAACGTACCTATGTTGTGGTTAAGGATTAATATGTCAACAACAGGTTGATAAGTAAGAATGGTGGGAACCAAAAACAATAAGGGAACTCATGTATGAGTACATACCTAGGCCAAACAAAATGAGTCAGGAAAAGAGATACCTGATTGAACAGAATCTAGATAGGTGTTCCCACTGTGCATCCTACTAGAAGGACCTGAAGTATGCGTGAGAAAAAAATAGCCTCAGTAATTAAATGCCAAAACATGTATGTAACATCTCTAGCTTAGTAGCGTGAAGCAAATTATGAGATCTAGTAATCACCTTAGATACAGGTGTGGGTTATACTAATTTAAGTAAAATAGATCAAAGAGGCCTGAATACATATAATTGCGTAATGAGGGGTTCTGGGTTCTTGGGGGTGTCGAGAGAGGAACCATATAGGGAGGACTTGTGTGGGCCTAGCGAGGCAGGGTGGAAGAGTGAAATGTGATATGAAAGGGTTGTACGTTATCCTGTATGTAGGAAAATGTATGTAAATGCCGAAATGGAGGGCCAAAATTGGATCGTAGTGGTTTGCCCGAAGAGAGCCGTATGTAACCGTTTGGAGTGAAGGACTAATGAGGACCATGTGTAAAGGCATCGTATTGAAAGGCCGAGCGTGCCCAATATAAGTCCTGAGTGGCAGGATCGA